TTTTCTTGAACCTATTGTTCTTGCCCCAGGTAAAAACCAGCCAAGTAAGTCAAAGTTTGATTTTGATAACAGTTATGAAACTCAGGAGTATCAATCGCCTTCATCAAGGCAACATTCTCCTTCATTTGTTGAACCCCCAAATACAACACAGCTCTCTAAGGGAGAAATATTAAGTCCTACTACCACTGCTATGCATCATATTCAAAAAATTCATCCCTCTATAGATTGCCCTATCGTTATACCAAATGGTGATTATGATCCTGGTAAAATTTTAGCAGCATCTGCAAGATCTATGCACAACGGTAAACGTTTTCACGACGACGATGATAACAATGAAGTTGATGTCTACAAAAAATGTAAGTTTGTCTATTTTTTTTTTTTTTATATATTTATATTTTTATTCATATAATTATATTTTATTTTACAATGAAATATATACTTTTGTAAGAATAAATTTTAAAATATATACCTTATGTAAATAATTTTTTTTTTTATTGGAATTTGTTTTTATCAGAAATCCAATTTGAATCCATTTTTATTCTCACTTCTATTATAGGAAAATTTTTTTTAGATAAATATAATGGCTATCCTAGACATGAAGATCTTATGAAAGACTTAAATAGAAAAGAAATTGAGTTGAGGATACTTCATGGTTTGTCATTATAAAACTTGTTTATCATTTTATTAGGATAAGATTTAGTTGTATAAATATAATAGGATATTTAGAATATTTACACAATTCTTTTTTTTTTTTTTTCAAAAGTTTTGGTTTTTCTAAAAACACTTGTTTTAAAAAAAACCAAAACAAACTAAAATATGTTTTTTTAAATGGGATATTTTTACATATTTTTTTTTTACTGCTGGTAAATCTTTATAGATAATACATATTTATAGAGTATACATATTTATAGAGTATACATATTTATAGAGTATACATATTTATAGAGTATACATATTGATATCTTTACACTATAAGTTCAATTTTCTTTAATAATCAAAACAGTTAAACTTTATAATTTTTTTAACATTTGTTATTGATGGTGTGTATTGTGCATACCATTGTAAAAAATAAAAGTTAAATTATTTAAAAAAAAACAACAAAAGATTTATGGAATATTTTTTTTTTTGCATTCAAATCAAAAAAACTGTTTTTATGTTTCATGATTAGTAACACTGGTTACATGATTTACACTGGTTAGTAACACTGGTTAGTAACACTGGTTAGTAACACTGGTTAGTAACACTGGTTACATGATTTACACTAATTAGTAACACTAACTGATAAGTCTTCAATTAGTTTTATAGCCTAAAAATTGTTATTTTATAAAAAATGTATATATAAAAAAAGAAATTATTGAAAAATCTTTCTTTTTTTTTTAATTTTTCTGTAAGTATTCACAATAATTATACAGTTACAAAAAAAGATTGCATATGATAATAGTTTTTATGTTTTTTAACTAATAATTAATTTTATAGATAATTAAATTATTAAAATAATATTCAAAATCTTAATATTTATTTGGATGTCTTTCTATCTAAATTGGTCAGATCTTGACAATGTTTTAATAAAATGTTATTCCAAACATCCTGAACAATGTTCCATAATTCGTACTGGATTCTTGGTTTTTCTTTAGAAACTGCATCTTAGATACAGATCTAAAAAATTTTGATTGGATTAAGACCTGGAGAGCGCAAGCCAATCCTTAATTTCAGCCCCTCCTCTGGAAACCAATTTTTTAACCTATGACCCGTATGTTTTAGATCATTGTCTTATGCCGCATAATGACGCATTATAGTGGCATATCTTCTTTTGCATAGGGCAACATGGTGTTTAGTTAAATTTCCAGATAAAAATGTTGTTCCATATTTCCAAAATCTTATAGGTAGGCCCTATGCCATAATTAGAAAAAAAAACCTAAATGTTCATTTTAAATTAGGAGCCTTTCTTATATATTCTTATGTATAGTGGATGCAGATATCCTTTTGACCTAAATGAATTTTTTTTTATTAACACTGCACAAAATGCCATTTTGAAGCAGGCTAATCCTTATGTTCTTTTGCCAAACACTTTCTTAATATAACGTCTTGTTCATAAAAGCATAACTTTCCTTGGATTTCTGGCAAATAATTTTCTTTAAACCATGCATAGAAGGTGGAATGGGTTCACTTGATATATACTGTTATGCTCAGTTTTTGAAAATTGCTATTTTTTGTTAAGTTGTGAGAGGTTGTGAGAGGTTGGTTTTAATTTTTATTTTTTACTAGAAGTGGAATCTTCACTCTCTATTTTTTTATTCATTTTTCTATAAAAATAAAAACACATAAAAAATTTAATAACTAGAATAAAAATACCTTCTAAAACAGTTTTCTTATTTTTTAAATCTTATTCCTTTAGGGAGATATGTGTCTTTAAATCCAGTCTCGTTTTTTAGTTGTCACCCGTTACTTTTTTGAAAAGAGAAACCAATAATTTCGTAATATAAAAAATAAAAATAAAATCGTAATTTTTAGCAAGCTCTTGTTAGACCAATTTATGTGCAAATTTTTTTTGAAATGCTTTATCATGTTCTATTCTTACAAAACCATTACCTTATCAAAGTAATATATTTCAACAAATTTGTTTTTCACAATTTCCACAAGAGCTTTCCTTTTTTCTTTTTTAAATTTTGATATATAATATTATACCCATTTTAAGTTCTTTTAAAACATTTTTTCTCAAATTCTATGTATTTTTATTCTTGTTGTTATTGTTTTGGTTCTTATTGTTCCCTATGCAATACCAATATTTTTTGGAATATTGGTATTGCATAAGTTTAAAACAGTGTTCTTTGTATTTGCAGTTAACTCACAGAATTTATTATTGTGGTTATTTTTTTTATTTTTTTTATTGTTTTGAAGAAATTTAAACTTTTTAAATAGTTTTTCTTTTGATTTCATAAATATTATTTCCCTTTTTCAGTAACTTTTTTTATTTTTTCTTCTAGAGTAACTTTTAGATTTTAAGGTTTTTAATTTTATCTGTTTCAAACCAATATGATATCAACATTGTGATGTCAATATTCCAAAGAACCAACACAATCTTCTTTATCTTGGTCCACACTTTCTACCTTCATTGAAAAATATATCTTGTATGGATATTATTGCAACAACAGTAGGCTTTGTTTCTAAACTAAAAAATAACAGCAAGATTAAAAATGAGCAGGATTTGAGAAAAAATGTTTTTAAAAAAATTAAAAATGGGTAAAAAAAAATTTAACAAGAGAACAAAGTAGGCTATTAAGGAAATTCAGGAAAACAAATTTTTTGATAATGGTTTTGTAAGAATTGAATTTTTTTGATTTTATTACTAAAGCAAATTCATGGAAGACAAATGGTTGAAAAAAACGAGGTTCAAGTTTCATTTGATAAAGTAAACCTGTACCAACCAATTCTACTTAAAGAAGCTCCCTTAATTCTTATAGACCAATTAAAGATGATTCTTACAAGTATTCCCCCAAGCTTACTATATCAAAAAACTTATTGAGCTTTGTTTAGGCCATTACTATTTCTTGTGGAACATCAAGATTTATGAATTCTAATCCTATAGTTATCTCAATATTTTGGTCCTATAGATCTTTCATTCATAGTCTTGATTTTTTCTACAATATCATGAAGAAAATGCTTTCAAAGTTGCTATGGCATTAATTCCTTCTCTTGACATAAAATTTTATCTAAGATATGTCCATGATAGCCATGCTAGATTTTCGAACACTAAAGAAGCAAAATAGTTCCTAATTATCTTGAACAAACAACACCCTGCAATATACAATTGAAATTGAACTTGAAAATAGAACTCAGAACTTCCTCAATGTAACTATAAAAAATAACACCTTTATTTGAATATTTATATGGGAAGTCATACAAATATTTAAATTAAACCTCACTCAAATCATGACTCTGATTTTAAACGCAATATTCAAAGGTTACATTCACAGGGCTTATTCTGTATGTAGTGATTTACATTTACAATATGAGATAAAGTTCCTAATACAAGTATTTGATGAAAACTGGTACAACAATATGCTAACTTAAACATATTGTTAAAATTATTGAAGAAAAAAAAGGTCCTTAAAAACAACAAAATTCAATCATATTCTGTTAACCTCCCTACTGTATCATTAAAGTGATTCCCAAGTACTAATACAAGTTGTGTTCGCATCATAAATAATCCTGAAAAAATAAGTTTTATGTTAATTAAACTTTCCAGAACAAATTATTTATAGATATATTACTTTTTATTGGTGCTATAAACATAAGATATATAAATTTAAAAATTATACTGATATTTGGTAAAAACAGTTTCTGCTAATAAAATTTTTAATTTGAAAATACTATTAATTTTTTTTTTTTTTGTATTTAGTAAGAATAATAACAAATAAATTTGATTTCACGGAAAATAAAAAAGAAATATATATTAATGAAAACAAATAAAAACAAAGTTAAAAGAGCGATATTCGTTGTTTAATTACAATTTTTATTTTGTCAAAATTTTCCAGTTAAACTTATGTCGCAAACAATTTTTAATAAAAAGTTGAAAACCCAACCTAATTCTTTAGTTGTGTAAATTGTTTAAAAAAGCTTTGCGGTAAGTACATTTTTTATTCAAACCTAATATTTTAACAACTGAAAACTATGCAGATTCATGAAGTTAATATTAACCTCTCAATAGAAACAACAAATGTTTTTTGTTGATATCTCAATAAATTGTTTTGGTAATTATAATAAACTCAAAACTTTTTTCTAATGTTGTTTACGAAATAATCATAACTTGACACTTGGAAATCCCTTTAATGTGAATACCATCACTATGCACAAATTTAAGAGATATATTTCAAAAATTCGGGTATAGAGTAATTTTCAAATAAAATTCCTAATTTGAGAACATTGCCAACATAAAATAAAACTAAATTGCCAAAAATTTGTCTATTGGTAACTTATTTTAATGAGTGCAAATGCTCAAAGAGATATGTTGGTAAAACTAAACTACAAATTAGAACTCTAATTCAGCAACATCTAAAAAGTAAATAAATATAAATAAAAATAAAGAGAAACTCTGCATTAGCCATCCATAGTAAGTTTTGCTCAGAAGAATTAAAGTGGGAGAATGTTAAAACCCTTAAAGTCGAAACATAAAAATTTAAACAAAAAGTAGGTGAAGCTCTTGAAATACAGAGATATCGATGTTCCCCTTTAAATAGTGGAATTAATCTAGTTAGTCAACACTTGATTTTGGACTTTGGTTTTATACATTTTTGTGTAAAAGAAGCCATTTAAATGCTGGTGTCAGTTAATTTTTGCATAATTTTAGTCAATGTCAAGTTGATGATGCTGGTAATATTTAGTGTTTTACTATTGTTTACAAAGATTTTGAATCTTTAATTAACAAGGCTATAATACCTCATCCTGAATCCTTAAGCTTAAATCCTGATTTTGATCTTCATGTTTTACTGCCAATTTGTTAATTATGATATCAGAAAGGTTTTATTGCACATTCAATTGAAATAGATAGTTGCTTTTGATTTTGGCATATCAAAGGGATTTGATAGTCTGACATGCTAGTCTTTTCTCTAAGAGGTCTTCATTTGGTTTTTTCATTTCATCTAAAAAAGTTTAAATAATTATTGAATCATTAGTAACTGCTTCTTAATACACATATGCCTAGAGTCATAGAAGGCCCATCACTTGCGTGATTTTTCTAAAATATGTATTAACATAAAAACTAAACAGGAAAGATGTAGACAAAATTGACAAAATTTTGTACATTTTATCTCTTTAAAAATAAGATACTTATATAAATTTTATTTGATGCCTGCTTAAATATTTTAGACATAAATTAAAGACATGAAAAAATTTCACATTTCAATTGTTCTCAATCAAATTAAATATGAAGTTATGCACTTTGTTACCTTAATGGAATACTTGAGTTTTTCATTCAACTTAACTATACAAGTTTAAAATTTATGCTTGTCTTTTTTTTTTTTTTTTTTTTTTTTTTGTTGGTATTTTTCTTGGTGCTGATATTGATACCAAAAACAATATTTTTATTAATTATGGACTGGAATTTATATTTTGATTGATTATGGACTGGAATAGCAAAATTACTAAATCTTCTACTTTATGTTTTCAAAACCATATGTCCAAATCATTGCAAAGTTAAAATCTGCTAAAGTTGTCTATCTTTATTGTGATCCCTGTTTTCTTACTTCTGACTCCATTTTTTACCTATATACATCTCTTATGTGTTCTTGTTTAGAATACTGTTTTCATATTTGGGCTGAAATTTGTTATGATACCTTTTCTCTATTATGTTCAAAAAAGTGTTGTAAATGTAATTTGACCTATCAATTTTGAGCCTCATTGTATGCATCTTTTTCTCTTTTCTGCAACTATAAATACTGTTTAAATGTGCTATCACCTCTTGTTCTACTAACCAAAACACAATCTTAAGTGTCTAATTATCCAGCAAATTTGCTCAAAAAATGTTTTTCTTCAAACTTTAGAATTTCCTTCCATCTTCATGTTTTTCTGACTGTCAACCATTTTTTTGTTCTTTAATTTTTTCTTCAATTTCTAGTCTGTACCTCTCTACCTACAGTTTGCAGCCTTGTTGAAAATTTAGTATGTCATCAGCAAATGGTTAAATATTATTAAAAGAATTTTTAAATAACACGCTTTAATGTTGATACTATTTTTAGCTTTGTTATTCATTTTTTGTGGGACACTGGGCAAAGTAATTGTTCAATTAGTTTGAAAAGTTCATAAAATGCAACCATCTTGGCATCAGCAATTTATTTTTTTAAATTGAAATATTTCTAACTTTTTTAATTTTTGTTCTGACTGTAAAAGAAAAGCTTAAAAAATTAGTAATTTGCATCATCATTTGAACAGACTGTAATTGCATCATCATTTGAACAGACTGTAATTGCATCATTATTTGAACAGGCTATAATTGCATCATCATTTAAACTGACTAATTGAACAGTTCTTGAGCAGCAATATTATGTTTACTATAAAATACTTTTTTATATTCACATGGTATTCAAAATAGAGGCACTTTTTTACGTAATGAAAGCTGAAAAAACAAAATCTGCTGGAGTTTGATTTGTCTGCAAGGTTATCAATCAATTATCTTTAGCAAAATTGGTATCAAATTGTAGTGCCACCTGCTGCCTCATTTTTTACCATAGCTAAAACTCTGCACTGCAAAGGACTATTAATTGTATAATTAAAGATATCAGTAAGATTTGGAGCAAAGCAAGAATTCTTACTAAGTGGATTATTTTAGTGAAAGAAAAATTAGGAAGTTGTATAATGAATATCAGCTGTTGAAGATGTATAGGATAAAGGCTGTAGGTTTAAAAAGTAAATGTGCAAATCCAACCTAATGGAAATTTTTGACTAGGTTACAGAGAATGCTTTGAACGTTGTGACAAACAATGAAGAAAGGCAATTCTTAACTATTCAGAAATAAGATATCTTTAAGTATGTATCATTGCTGATACATACTTAAAGACTACACTGCATTCAACATTGTTGAATTCCGACACTGTATTCAACATTGTTGAATTCCTACACTGCATTCAACATTGTTGAATTCCTACACTGCATTCAACATTGTTGAATTCCAACACTGCATTCAACATTGTTGAATTCTTGCACTGTATTCAATATTGTTGTTCTTCTCAGATTACCATATACCTAGCTTTCTTTAAGAATTGAGTCCTTCTAGATGTCAAAAGAGCCATGATAGCCAGCTTCCACCTCTAAAGACTAAGCTTGTGCGGTGCAGACTTCAGTGATCTTAAAAAGTTTGCAACCAATAGAACATCTTGTATTACAGAAAAGGAAGAGGTCAAGAGTTTCCTGTTAAAATATCCAGAAGCATGGAAATCAGATGCTTGCTTCCAAAGTTTGAAGGATTATCAATAAGATAAAGGAGATTGCTCTTATCCATAGTCAGAATCCAAAGATCAAAAATAGTTTCTGCTTGCTTTTGTCCAGCAACATTGGCCAACTTATCCTTCATCCTTTAAGGCAGTCGTGATGGTACAACTTTGCAAAAGATTTTACCGAATCAGAATAAACTTTGATTTTACTTTGTCAAAGTTTGAAATCAATTATTATAACAACAGCAACCAATATATTTTTTAAAACCATAAAACCAATATTTTTTTTTAAAACCATAGCAACCAATGTTTTTTTTTAAATAAATGGTTATTAAGATTTAGTGATCATCTTTTATTGTTTTACTGTTTTATTGTTGTATTTGTTGAATAAATTGACATGTGATGTTGGATTTTGTATTTAAAGTTCTAAATAAAAAAATAAGAAAATAACAAAATTTTTACTCTTTGATTAACAAACAATCTTTGATTTAACTTAAAAAGTCAAATTTTTTATTGATCCATAAATATTGTTCAATTTTCTTTAAATTTTTACAAAAGCCCTCTAATATAATTTGAAACAAGATAAGAATTTGCAATGTTAACCTTTTTGAACCACTCCTACTGGATTTTCTTCTATTTTATGTTTCAATATTTTTTTGATCTTCATATTAAATCTTATTTATTAAATATTTTTATTATTATTAAATATTTGATCTTAATATTACTCTTAATACATTAAAAAACTGATTTAAATAATTTTATAAAATTTGTTTTTAACTAAAACTTTCTTTAGATGGATACCAACGCGAAATAGATGAAGAACAAAATCGTCGACTACACATTGAGAGAAAGTTTAAAGAAGCTGCCAGTTAGTTTTTTTCTTTAACTTTTCACTTAAAATAAATATTTTATTTATTATAAAGTATTATTTTGAATATGCATACTGTATATTTGTTTAATGCATGCATGTTTTATATCATCATAATTTCCAAATGTATTGTATACTTGTTTAATGCATGCATGTTTTAGATCATCATAATTACCAAATTATTTTTGCCTTTTTAGCAGCTATTCTATAAATAAAAAGAATTTATTATTTTGAGTTAACTTATTATTTGATTGTCACCTTTTATTGATTTTTTATTTATTTATCTTTGTTAAATAGTATTTTAAAATATGAAAAATAATAAATACATTTATTCTTCTTTGTTTATATTATATATTCATTATTTATCATTTCTTTAATTGATTGATTTATCATTGCGTTATATTTAAAGATTTCTTTAGAGTTTCATAAAGAAGAAATTGAAAACATGAAGCAAAAACAGCAAGAACTTCTAAACGAAATATCAACACTTAGAGGTAGATGTTAGTAAATTTTTTTTATTGTCATTGAAAATTTAACACTTACTTGTGCAAAACATATTGATGATTTTTTGGGTTCCTTTAATCAAATGGACCTCCATAATTGTTGATTAGCTCCATAAGAAGTTTAAATCATGTACTGCTTAGCCTAATGCAAAGAAAAACAATCTGCGTATATTTAAACAAGCTGTGTATATATGACCAAGCTGCATGTATACCTCAATGAGAAAAATGTATAGGTGAGATGCAGGTTATAGTGAAATTTGAGAACAAGAAAAGAAAAGTGTACAGAATTAAATGGAGTTACAAAGAAAGATGGAGCTACAAAGTAAAAAAAAAAGAAGCAAAAGTTTGAAAATACTATTTTAAATGGATGTATTGATATATTTCAGATGGATATATGTAAGAAAGATATATTTCAGATGAATATATTTCAGATGGATACTATTTTAACTTGCAGGAAAGGGAGCGGTTTATAAGGCAGCCTAAATTTATAAGGCAGCCTTTATTTTTAGTGAAGCAAATGTGCTTAAGGTAAAGAAAAAAAGTGTTTAAAAAAAGGATATTAGGTATTTAATCTCTAGATTAAACCAAGAGTATGTTTTGTAATTCAATCATTCAATTCAATCATTCCATTCAATCATTCAATTCAATCATTCAATTCAATCATTGGGTTGAATTAGGAAAATATTGAATTAGGTGGTTTAATGATTGGACTGAGATAAGAAAAAGATTTCAATCGTAGGATTGAATTAAAATAATAATAGCTGGTTTAATTGTTAGTTTGACTTAAGAGATTTATTTGAGAAGCCAAATAAGCAGCAATCGGTTTAGCAACCACTATGTTACCAGTTAAATGGGTTTTGCAACCATTAAGTAATAACGAGAAAAGTTAAATAGAATGAATGTCTTCCTGGACAGAAGACTTTAAAAACTGGAAATTGTTTGTGTCAAAAAGTATGAAGTTCCAATATTTGAGGAATGAAACTATAATACAACTTTTTTGAGCATGCAAGAACAGTTACAGTAAAAAGATGCAACTTTGCTGAATATCGAGGCTTACTTATGCAGTGACCATGGTATTATTTGTAGTAAACAGAAAGAGATGTAGTCTTATAACAATGGATCTTATAGATAGAGATAACACTTGGTAGCTAAAACAAGTTTAATTACATTTTCTATGCATTTTTGAATCTTGTCTTAATAAGAGAGTCTAATTATTACAGCAGTATTCCATAAAACAACAAACAAGAAATTTATAGAGGTAAAAATAGAATTAGGAGTTATAATATAAATAATTGAGAAGTATGAATAAGTTAATAGTTAAAAGAGGCAACCTTATAAGATGCTAATTTTCCAATAGATTCTATATATGGTTTTTGAAAGGTTAGGAATGATATTCCAAGAAGTCGTTAGTAGGACGACTCAGAAAGAGTATGTGGTTTTCTTATTAACAAAAAATGGTAAAGCACAAGTTTTCAGATATGACATATTACAATGAAATATAAGTTGTGAGGGTTTGTTATGTTACGAGTATAATGCCTAAAGGCTTATATGCAATGTTTATTTATTTATTTATCTTCAACAATAAAAAAATAAAAAAAATTGAGTTAAGTTGATTAGTCAGAAAAATTGGGCGTGTAGGTTGGTAAGTTAAAGATGGTTTGTAGAGTAATACTTATGTCTAGCCTTCACCTTATTCCACCTGTGCTTATTGTAACGGTTTTAAAGTTTTTAATAATTTTGATACACCTTAACGCTTCTTTTATATTTAGAAGAACTTCAAAACGAGCGTCTCATACGTGAAAGTTTACAAAAAGAATCGTTATCAGGTAAAAGCTTTGTTTTTAATTAGTTGTATTATTTCATTTCTTCATATTCTTTTGATTTTTTCTGATATTGTATGTATTTTTTCTGTTATTATTTTAATTTCTTTAGAAAATCGCTAGACTTTTGAAAAGATTCGTTGACTCAAATTCTGCTCTTTTATATGTATAAACTATGCTAAGTTTGATATCGATAAAATACAGTTTTTAAAAACGAAAAGCGACCTTAGCTATTATGTCTATGACATTTTTAAAGGAAAATTTCTTATTGAATGATTATTTTGTACTTTTTAAGTTGTTTATAAAAGAAGAATAAAACGATATTGTTTGAAGTCTAAAAAAATTGCGAGGTTTTTTTTATTTTTTGTTATTGGTATTAAGTTGGTTGTACAAATTTATTTTACTTTTATAGATTTTATTTATTTTAAATGTCTCCATTTCTTAAATTTAAATATTTTGTAGTCTATAAAGACTTTTGTATTTATTTGGTTGGTAAAAAATCCATTTTTTTACGGGGTTTACAAACTGTTTAAACGGATTTTTATCAGAGGCAGAGCAGATCAGTTCGAGTAATGGTTAACGAATAACACTCGGTGAGTTTTAAACCCTCTGACATTCTTCCGACCTTTTGGTAACTCATGAATGAGCTTTATAGAGATACTGAAAAGTTATGTTAGCATCATTTTTTCCATTGTAATTACATTTTCATGGCACTAGATTAAGTATTTTCGGCGAAAAGTTAAAATTTTGTTTTATAATAGATCTAGAGTTTTAAGAAATTTGGTGAAAGATGTTTTAACTGTTTACTTTTATTCTGTTTAAAAAAACTTTTTTTATCTGAAAATCGATAACGTTACTAATCGATAAATTTTATCGTTATCTGAAAATCAAGTTAATATTATAAAAGAGTAATCGAGCTCAACATCAATTAAGTCAAATATTTTTTTCATTCATTGAGTGTAAATGAGTTTCTAAATAATATCACGTTCCATTTTAGGGCCAATAATATTTTCGACTTAATCAATATTTTGGTCCCCCATGTTTTTTGTTTTGTCAATCAAAAGGAATCTTATTTAAGACTGTACAATTAATTAGGAGTCGTAATTGAGGCTGAAAGAAATATTGATAATCCAATTTAAAATTTTCTTTTAATTTCTTTTAATTTTCTTTAAAATTTTCTTTTAAAAATCTTGTTTTTTTACTCTTTATGTTATATATTACTAAAATTTAAATTTACAAAAATACTATTGAGAACCCAAAAAATTAAAGTTAAAACTAATCAAGTTATCAGTTTAAATTTAAAAAATCTTGGATTTTTTATTATTATTTTCAATCATACATAAATGAATTATTTAAAGTTACCAAAATAAAAACAGCAATAAGCATCAAAAAATATTTTCAATTATAACCAACATATGAATCATAATCCAACATAAGAAACATGATCGAGCATAACCAACATGTGAAACATAATCCAACATAACCACATAAGAAACATGATCCAGCATAATCAACAAATGAAACATGATCCAACATAACAAACATATGGAACATAATCCAACTAAACATAAATAATAATTCTTCCGTTTAAGTCAATCACAAAAGAGGGGAGTCTTCCACCGTTTATTTGTTGTTGAAGTTGTTTACTATTTGTTTTCAAAGCTTAATCTAGGATTGAACAGAAACCAATAATTGAAATAAATCAAAAAAAAAGCATTAAACAAATTATGTCGTATTCTAGCTGTTTATAAGTTGCAAAAAAATTTGTCGTATTCTAGCTGTTTATAAGTTGCAAAAGAATATGTCGTATTCTAGCTGTTTATAAGTTGCAAAAGAATATTCTAGCTGTTTATAAGTTGCAAAAGAATATGTCGTATTCTAGCTGTTTATAAGATGCAAAAGAATATTCTAGCTGTTTATAAGTTGCAAAAGAATATGTCGTATTCTAGCTGTTTATAAGATGCAAAAGAATATTCTACCTGTTTATAAGTTGCAAAAGAATATTCTAGCTGTTTATAAGTTGCAAAAGAATATGTCGTCACTGTTTATAAGTTGTTTTTTTATCACAAACAACTGTTAATATAGGTAGCATTTTATTTTTTAAAAGAAACTCGTATTTAAAAACTATGAAATTTAATTTTTGTACTAGTATTACCAACTAAATATATACAGTTTAGACTAATTTACAAGAACCAACCACCAGCCTTTAATTGTAAATGGTTGCTTGACAAAAAAATTAATAAAAGAAAAAAAATAATAAAAAAAAAAAATAATAATAATATCAAAGTACATTGTACTGAGTACATTGTTTTAAACATTTTAATAACTTTTTTTATAGATGCGTTGCGTTCTTTTTCAGAACAATTTTTCCATTATTTTTAATTTTTTAATAAAATGAGTACAAATTTATTGTTTTACTTTAAAATTTATTTTGCTATGAAATACGACTTTTTTTTGATAACAAAATAAAATTTCTTGAAAACTTTATAAAAAATGTACAAGTATAAATAATGTATTGTAAAAAGATTTTAACGTAGATTCTGCATATTTAGATTTAAGAATGTAAAGCGACTAAAAACTTGCAGTTAATTTGAAAAATAAATATTTTAAAGGTGTTATAAAGCAGCCGCAGTGCATTAGTTAGCACGCTTGCCTCTAAAGCTAAATACCCATGGTTCAACGCCATCTCTGGGCACATTTTGTAACATCGGTAAGGAAGTAGCGTGAAAATCCTTTCAAATGCTCTTCCGCGGTGCTCAGCGATAAGACCGTAAAGACTTCTTGGAGCACCTATAATAAAAATAATAAAATAAATTTATAATAAAAACAAAGTCATTAATAATATCATAACTTTATATATATATATATATATATATATATATTTCGTCGCTATGAGTAATTACAATACCAAAGAACATGAATAAAAATAAAAAATGACCGGGGCAAAGAGAAGACTGTAGTTGTCTTATCACTAAGCCCCGTAATAAATACACCGTAAGTTACAATGCTTATAAAAACTGTAATAATGTAAGTTACATATCTTTTAAATTTTTTTTACCGTTAAATTTTACTAAAAATATATTTTAAATAGGGAATAAAATAACAAACCAAAAAGAAGACCAGCATAAAAGAAGAAAAAACAAACAAGAAAGACAAAACAAAAATAAATAAACAAAAAAAAAATAGACAGTAATATTATTCATCATATTTATGGACCTGAATAAATAATCTTAATAATAAACAATTGTTAAAATTAAATTGTTAAACATAATTGTTATGCTGAAAATTATTAATAATAGTACTCTCATTTAAACGCTTAATAAGAAATTTAGCTCATTGTCGTTTAGTAAAAGATTTCGCTTAAGTTTAGTTTTAAATTGATTAAGTGAAGAAAGTTTTAAGATCATAATTTAAAAGTGTATTCCATAATATAACTGATTTTCTACTTGTTATTAAATAGTCAAAAAAATTTTAAACAAACTTTTCTCATATGTACATTATTAAATAGTGTATTAACTAGACCAAAATCAGACATGGTAGTTTTAAAAGAACATTAAGTATTGAAAAACTTTTTTTCGACTTTTTCAAATATCGCATATACATATAATATTTTAGTTAACACAATAATAGTAAAATCGTCACCACAATTTTACGTGTATTTTCATTTGTGGTAGTAAATTGATAATCTTGAAAATGTCTATGGTGTTTAAGTTCACTGCAAAGAGAACTATTTTCAGAATTATTTTCTTTTTTTCTTCTTCTGTTTACATTTGTTGTAAAATATTTATTATATTTTACAAAACCAAACAAATCTTCTGAAAGAAGATCATAATGATCTTATCATTAAAAATTTTACAATTTTAAAAACAAAATAGTAAAAAAAATATATATATTTTATAAAACTGAAAATATAAACATAAAGAATGACCGTAATACTAAATCAGATGGCAGGACGTAATAAAAACTTTAAAAATGTAAGACGTAATAAAATCAATGTTAGAGTTCTTTTAAAAATCCTAATAATAAAGGAAATCTTGTAAATCAAAGTTTATTTCAATAGTAACTTAAAATGTCATATCAAGAATGAAACTTTTTAATTTATTTTTAATTATTGTTATTATTATGTATGCCGCCGGTAAAATGAAAAAAGTTGAAAAAAATCAAGCTACACAAATACACAAATATAAGGATGGGACAAGAAAAAGACAAATTTAGTCTTACCTCGAAGCCCCTTAAGTTACCCCGAGAAATAATTAAAATTTTTTTGGAACTATAGTAAAACTCAATTTTTTTAACATAAATTAATCATTAAAATTTTTAAAAAATTTCCTTACTTGAAATCTTGAAAACTTGGAAAGTTTTTGTGAAATGATTACTTAAAATTTACCCGCCATTTTAACATGAAATTTGTAACATATTATAAACATACCAAAAATCAATTGGGAGAAAATAAAAGAATATTTTAGAAATGAAAATAAAAGAATATTTTAAAAATGCATCAAAAACTAACAAATGAATAAAACAAGAGTAATATGAAAAATTTCAAGAGCTAAAATGTGTTAAACAAAAACCTTCTCTCAAATGAAATTTATTACTATAAAGAAACAAATGTCAAAATTTCAGCTCTTTTGCATAATATAAGGTAACGGTTACGCAAACTATTTGTTTGTATAATGGTTGCTATGGCGTTATTACTGATTTGGTTGAAATAAATCCAATATCAATCCATGCATAAATATCTAAACAGCATAAATATTTCAAAATTGACTTTGGTTTCTTGCCGGTACTACTAATAAAAGTCTAATAATTTTTAAAAAATTGAGTAAAAGATAAACAATCAAATAAACTGAATAAAATAAACGTTATTTATCCTAGTCAAAAGTTAAAAAAAAAAAAAAATTCATTGTCATCAAAAGATATTGTCTAAGTTTATTTTAAACTTGATTATAATAAGAAGTTTTTAGCTCAAAAGGGTGTTGCATCTATTTATTATATTTTTCTATTTAAAATTGAATACTTAGTAGCAAAAAAAAAGGTTTTAGGTTAAATGTTATTTTTTACAAAAAAACGTGATTTGTTTTTTCAAAAAAGCTAAACATGATGGCTGCCATTTTTTTCTAACAAAATTTGAACTTAAGTTTACTTAGCAGTTTATTTATTTTAGTTAGATTAGTGCTAGGCAACGTTTGCATAGTTAGAAAATTTCAAACAGGTCTAACAATTACTTACCAATATTTTTTGAAATTTAATTATGGATTTTTTTTATGTGCTTCCGAAAAAAATTGGAAAGTTTTAAAGTAATGAAGTTCATTTTCATGAAGACATATATATATATATATATATATATATATATATATATATATATATATATATATATATATATATATATATATATATATATATAGTATATATATATATATATATATATATATATATATATATATATATATATATATATATATATATATATATATATATTATTGTAAACATAGTTGGAACTGCTAGCGTCTCTTGTGCCATCTACTTAAATTCATTCTTGTGTTACTTGTCATTTAATTAACTCTCATCCTTTTTCTGTAACTGCTCCTAAGTGCTCCAAAAACTCTTATTCACCTAGTTTTTTTCCTCGAACATCAGTTCTTTGGAATACACTACCTTCATCTTGCTTTCCTGATTCATATAATTTGCAAATATATATATATATATACATATCTTATTTATTTAATATATATACATATCTTATTTATCTGAGGTACATAACATTATCAATAAATCAATATTTTGAAAAAGTGGAGATAAAACAAGATAATTCTAATGTCGCAATATTACAGAATTACTGAATCAGGAAATCAGGGATATATGTATATATATATATATATATATATATATATATATATATATATATATATATATATATATATATATATATATATATATATATATATATATATACATATATATATATATATATGTATATATATATATATACATATATATATATATATATATATATATATATATATATATATATATATATATATATATATATATATATATATATATATATATATATATATATATATATATATATATATATATATATATATATTAAATATACAGAAAAAATAAAAGACTACTGAAGGTAGTTAAAGAAACCTAAAATGTGCAATATTAAAACCTGTTAGTGCTAAATGATGTCATTGAATTGCTAAAGTATTTGCTAAAATTGTTTCATCAAAATACGCCCCCGAGAGAGTACACAGCAAAATCCAAGATTCTAGGTTAAGAACTTTTGCTCTTATTTTAAGAACTTTTGTTCTTATTTTAGGAACTTGATTCTTATTTTAAGGACCTGATTTTTATTTTAAGAACTTGATTCTTATTTTAAGAACCTGATTCTTATTTTGAGAACTTGATTCCTGTTTTAAGAACTTGATTCTTATTTTAGATTTTCATTCTTATTTAAAGATATTTCAATAAAAAACATTGTTCCTAATTTTATAAAATTGTAACATTTTTATATAATATGTATATATATATATACATACATATATATATATATATATATATATATATATATATATATATATATATATATATATATATATATATATATATATATATATATATATATATATATATATATATATATATACATATATCTATATATATATATATATATATATATATATATATATATATATATATATATATATATATATATATATATATATATATATATATATATATATATATATATATATATATATATATATATATATATATATATATATATATATATATATATATATATATATATATATATATATATATATATATATATATATATATATATATATATATATATATCAATAGATACCTGCAGGTATACCTGAACAAAAATTAAAGAATTCAGAAAAATTAAAGCTATTAAATTTCCCCTTCTGAAAATCCTCCCCACCTCTGATAGACCTTGTTCATGATTTTATGTAATCAAATAGTCTAATCCAAGACTAAAATACAAACCAGAAAGAGTGGTATACTGCGACAATTTTATAGAATTCGCTTTTAATACGTAGTAGCAGAATAATATAAGTGTAAGCAGGGCCTGATCTTCCACAAGGCACGTAAGACCCGGGCCTAGGACCCCTAAAATTTTTGGAGCTCCCTAATTTTCAGCTTTTAATAATTTCTTAGCCCATCAGAACTTTCTGACGTAACAGTAGAATTTAAAATTATTTATTTTATTTAAAACATTTTAAGGTAAAAAAGAACTAAAATGATTTCAAGATGATTTGTTTGGATTTTACCTTTCCGCTCCGAAGTACGCATTTTGGCTAGATCCGTAAGTTTTACGCAAAATCTCATAAAGATACATATATGTAATGTTCTGTTACATTTCTGAATTAAAATTATGAACATATGGTCCACGACAGTCCGGAAAATCTTTATGGCCGACAAAAAAGTAATGTTATTTTTTATTAAAATAAATTATTGTCATTATCTTTGAGTTATTGCTCTGAAATATTTTTAAAAACTTCAATGTTTTTTTGATTAACTTCTACTAAATAACTAAAAGTTAAGTTAAGTTTTAAACTTATATTCATTTATTTCTAAAAAGTTAATTAAATTGCAAAACTTCAATATTTTTGATTACATTTTACAGTATGATAATAAGAGTGCCCGAAGTGAAATCCGTGCTATTTTAAAAAAATGTAAAGAAAAACAATGCCTTTTTAACTGTTTTTTTTCTGAAATAAATATTTTAAATTACAGAATTTTTTTTTTCTAAATGTAAAATATTTTTATAATTTTTATACAGATAATCTTCTTGGTGTCCGCGACGTCTGATTTTAAAAGCTATAACCCGGGGTAATTTCTAGGTAGCTGGTCATAGGTTAACTCAAACTTTCATTCCTCAGGGTTTGATGAATGAGGGCACATTTATTTGTTCACATTTGTTTTTGACGATGGGGCCCCCAAATTGTGTTGTGCCTATAGTCCGTGTTGTTCTAGATCGGGCCCTGAGTGCAAGCATGGATAAGTGTGATTTGGTTTGAAGTGCTCTAAGGTTGTGCACTTCTTTATAATAAATGAATTTAACAAAAATGAATAAACTGCCGAGCGATGGATCAAGGAGTTTTTGTGTGGCTAAAGGCTCTGCCACTTCCGCCTACCCATCCCCCAAGCTGTCATTAGGGCCCCAAAATCTTAAAAACCTATAACTATGCACAGTCAATTTCAAGCGTTATGTTTATGAGCGCATGTTCAAAAAGTTTATAAGAAATTTCAGAGATTTTAAAATGGCTGCGGATCTCAGCTACATAATCTTTTTTATATAGTCAAATCTCTTTTAATATAAATTTTATTTCTCAAACATACTACAAACACTCTAATATGATGTATTGCATATACTTATAATTTATGAACCAATAATTTTTTATGAATATCTAATCTAAAAACAAGTCATTCAAAATAATTTACTTTCAAGAATATCTTTCTAATTCTAATATTCTTTTCTTTTTATCCAATATTATCAAATTGCGCGCTCTTGTTCATCTATTAAATTGTTTATTTGTCTAAAATCACACACAAGTTACCCTATCTCTTTCAATCTGTAATTTCTTTACTTCTATAAAAATTTCTTAATATTATCTTCCATCATTTAGCAACCTTAAATTTTATATTCTATATCATTGTTCAGTTAAGTACAGCATAACAAATCACATCACAAACCAATGCATAAAATCATGAAGTAATTTATCATTTTTTATTCATAGAATAATTTATTTTTTATATTCACTTTATATCACTAAACTTTATTACTAAAACTCATCTTTATGTCTTGTTCTTTACTTCTATAAAAATTTCTCAATATTATCTTCCATCATTTAGCAACCTTAAATTATATATTCTAAATCATTGTTCAGTTAAGTACACACAGTGGACCAGATAGACCGCCAGGTTTTATGTCGTGTCAATTAAACGAAATTATATATTCTAAATCATTGTTCAGTTAAGTACAGCATAACAAATCACATTACATACCAATGCATAAAATCATGAAGTAATTTATCATTTTTTATTCATAGAATAATTTATTTTTTATATTCACTTTATATCACTAAAATTTATTACTAAAACTCATTTTTATGTCTTTTTCTTTTGGAAAAATGTAATTACTGTTCAGAAAATTGTTACGCTCTTTGTGGGTTATTATTATTGCTTTTGGTATGATTATATGTAATATAAAAATCAACATTATTTTACTTCTATTCATATTACTATTACTTATTGTTATTGTTTAATATTAAATTTAATATTTATCAATATTATTATTATTATTATTATATTAATATAGATATAATTGCTAACATTGCTTACCTCGTTATAATTGTTTTAATATTGTTATTGCTATTACTATATAATTGGTTTTTACTTAAGATTAGTATTAGTACTTTTTTCTAAATATTCATATGTATTTTGCATACATACACATATATGACATATATGTTTGTGTTTTCTTTTAAGCAATTGCAAGTTTCCAAATACATGCAAAGTAAAGTAAGTAAAGAAAACAATGCTTTTCAATTAATAAAGTTAGTATTATTAATTAATTTTATTTTTTACATTTTTTATCCTTATTTTAATTGGTCTAAATATTGAATTTTAATTTAATAACCTGGGTAAATAAATTTCCAGTTGAGAGAGTTGATAGAGTTGCAGCATTTTTATAGAAATATCAATGTTTCCCTAATGTGCTATTAGTAAATTTTTTTTTCATTTTTGATTTCATATATTTATTGGATAAAATGTAATAGTGTTTCAAAATCACGAATCCTTTTTCAAGTGAGAAGGTATTTTCAAAACTGCCATGTCTTCTAATAGGTTATTCTATAAGTTTTCTCTGCTTTATAAAGTTTTTTTTTTAATATTATTATTTAATTCAGATTGTCGGCGACATAGCTCATGTATTAAAGTCTTCTATCACAGTTGACTCAGCAAGAATGAAGACATTGGTACACTTTTGCATTATGGAATACAAAAGTTGGCAGTTCCTCACCCACTGCCACCCAAATGCAGGTAAGTATGCATGCATACACAAGCCTCAAAATTAGTAAAACTAAAGTGAGTAATCAATTTTCGTCCGTAAACTGTTTTAGGTTGGCATCAGATCACAATCGGCAAACATAAAGCCATTTTACAAAGGTTTTACTATGAAAGATAAAAACGAGGTCAGCGAAAAATTGGCAACTTCAGGCATTTTTATGTTTTTGCTTAGTTAGGGTTAGAGTTAGGTACAATAATGTATTGAAATCAATACATTAATAAAGAACTTGCTGCAATTACTTTTAAAAGACTAAAACTGGACATATTGTTTGAAAACACTTAATATATATATATATATATATATATATATATATATATATATATATATATATATATATATATATATATATATATATATATATATATATATATATATATATATATATATATATATATATATATATATATATATATATATATATATATATATATATATATATATATATATATATATATATATATATATATATATATATATATATGTACACTCTGTCAAAAAAGTTTTCATCCACCTATTCGGTACATTTTTCAGACGTGATAACAACAAACATATAAGTATAATTTTAACTAAATTATATCAGTTAACCATTCAAGAAGTATTGTATAAAAATATTTTATAAAATAATAAATAAATAATAAAATATGACATTTTAAAATAAATAATTCCTGTTTTAGCGCCAAAAATGTTTTCATCCACCTTGCACTCCAACCTCAATTTGCTACTAAATCAGTATTAAAATAACATTTTTAAAACATAAATTAGATTTAGTAAGATTTTAGTATTATTTTTTCTCTATATAAATTTTTTTATATTTTTTATTTATGTTAGATTATTAACAAAAAATGAGAGTTTGCAGAGGAAATTAGATCGCTTATTGTTAGACTATGGAAGGAGGGAAAATCACAGCGAAAAATAGGAGGAATAGTAAAGAAATCACGTGCAACTGTGCAGTCAATTATCAAGAAATACCAAACCACAAAAAAAAATTGCTGATAAGCCACAGGACGTCCAAATAAAATTTTAGTATTTCATCAACGAGCTATTTTAATAACAGTCATCCAAAATCCTAAAATAAGTGCTCCGAAACTTGCTGGAATGCTGCAAAATGATTACAATTTAAAAGTGGACTCTGAAACTGTTAGAATAACCTTAAGAAGAGCTGGATACAATAGTAGAGTATCATTGAAAAAGCCCTTCATTAGCAAAGTCAACAAGCCAAACGACTACACTTTGCAAAACTTTATATTAATGAACCACAGACATTCTGGGAAATGGTTCTTTTTATCGATGAGTCAAAATTTAATGTGTTTTCATCAAATAGAAGAGTTAAAGTTTGGAGAAAGCCAAATGAAGCATTTAAAAAAAAAACTTGTGTCCAACGGTGAAGCATGGTGGAGGAAGCGTTTTAGTGTGGGGGTGTATGAGTGCTTCTGGTGTAGGTAACTTAGTTTTCATTGATGGAAATATGGATCAAAATGTGTATTTAAACATTTTAAAAAATAATCTGGAAGAAAGTGCCCACAAATTGGGACTTACTAGGTCATTTATTTTTCAGCAAGATAATGAGCCAAAACATACAGCTAAATGTGTCAAGGAATGGCTTATATTTAAAATAGCTAAGCAACTTCATACACCCCCACAATCTTGTGGGGGTGTATGAAGTTGCTTAGCTATTTGACATATACAACAGATTTGAATCCTATCGAACATCTGTGGAATGAACTAGGTAGAAGAATAAGCACCCACGATGTAAGGAATAAACAACAACTACAATTAGTAATTATGAAAGAGTGGGGCTCAATCACTCCAGAAATTACCAAAAAATTAGTTGATTCAATGAAAAACAGACTACACGAAGTAATAAAAGCTCGTGGTGGAAACACAAGTTATTAAAACACTAACAAATTGAGTTCGAATAACAATTTTATTTGATTTTTGTAAAGTGGATATATATATGTATATATATATATATATATATATATATATATATATATATAAATATATATATATATATATATATATATATATATATATATATATATATATATATATATATATATATATATATATATATATATATATATATATATACTCATATAGTGTCGCTTTAAGAGCATTTTAATGTAAAAAAAGTCTCTTACGACTACAATTTTAATTACCTCGTCTCTTAAGCTGTTTTTGATTGTCATCGAAATGTCAAAGCAATTAATTTATGCGGAAGTACATTAAATTTAATTGTTTTTTAAAAAATTTTTAAAAAACCGCAATTATAACGACTAGAAAGTTTTTTTTAATTAGTGGTGTTTTTGTTATTGATTTAATAAAAAACATTTTTTAAACATGCGTAAATGTTGCTACATCGACTATCTTATAGCCTGACTCGCAACGGAGTGCTGCTACATCGACTGACAAATAGCCTGACTCGCAACGGAGTGCTGCTACATCGACTGACAAATAGCCTGACTCGCAACAGAGTGCTGCTACATCGACTGACAAATAGCCTGACTCGCAAGGGAATGCTGCTACATCGACTGACAAATAGCCTGACTCTCAAGGGAGTGCTGCTACAACGACTGACAAATAGCCTGACTCGCAAGAGAGTGCTGCTACATCGACTGAGGGTTTGGTTTGGCCAGGCAGTCTATCAATTAAAAAAAAAAATTAATTTTTAAAACTTTTTCTGGTCTAGTTTATTAACGCGCTCTTTAAAACTACAGTTTATGGGAAATATTTTTTGATGCTACGCAAGAGACATGCAAGACTATATATATATATATATATATATATATATATATATATATATATATATATATATACACTTACTAAAGCGTGTTTTGATAAGCATTTGCTCACTTTTTGTGCTTACCTTAAGCTATACCAATGAATGATGAATAAAACAATTGCTTCCCCATCCCAAACCCTCAGTTGATGTAGCAGCACTCCACTGCGAGTCAGGCTATTTGTCAGTCGATGTATGTACTGAAGCCCCCAGCAGCAGGCTTTTTCAGTATGACGTCAGATTTCTTACCATAGTACGCAATACTATTTGTATATATATATATTATATATATATATATATATATATATATATATATACATATATATATATATATATATCATGTACATCATGTATATATATATATATATATATATATATATATATATATATATATATATATATATATATATATATATATATATATATATATATATATATATATATATATATATATATATATATAATGTGTGTATATATATATATATATATATATATATATATATATATATATATATATATATATATATATATATATATATATATATATATATATATATATATAAATTTATATATATTTATATATATATATATATATATATAAATATATATACATATATATATATATATATATATATATATATATATATATATATATATATATATATATATATATATATATATATATATATATATATATATATATATATATATATATATATATATATACATATATCAATTTTGAGTTTGTAAAATTTATTTTCAGATTTAAAAAATCCTTATCTGTATGTAACAGACGATGCAGACGATGTGATTTGTGTAGCAAAAGATTATTTAATGAAGTTTTTCATTTTCTGAATTCGTCATAAAATTTATTGGAATGCACTTGTCATGGACATGGGAGGAGTATTGCCGCTACAAGCATGAACAATAATAAAACATAGCTAAGAATAATTTCTTATTTCAACGATTAGATTTGTTGTTTTAATGTATAAATGCTTTTTGAATATATAATGTTTCATTTTTTCCATAGAAAAAGTACTTTTGTAATATTGTTTTATAGTTCAGGGGAAATATTATTGAAACAAAAAAATAGAATCTTATTTTAAATAAAAATAACATTAAAACAAGTAAAAAATGATTTTTTTTAAGGAATATAAATTCTTGAACCAAGGAAAAAATACATAATTTTAAGAAAATAAGTTCTTCAAATAAGAAAAAAATCTTATTTTAAGAATATAAATTTTTGAAACAAGAAAAAAAGTTGTTACATTAAGAATAAAAATTCTTTAAGCAAGAAAAAGAATTCTTATATTAAGAATAAAAATTCTTGAAACAAGAAAAAAGTTCTTGTTTTAAGTATAAAAATTCTTGATACAAAAAAAAAAATTCTTTTTTTAAGAATAAAAATTTTTTTAAGAATAAAAATTCTTGAAACAAGAAAAAAAAATACTGTTTAAAGAATAAAAATTCTTGAAACAAGAAAGAAATAAAAAAAAAACTTAAGAAAAAAAGTTCTTAAAACAAGAAAAAAAATTCTTATTTTTAGAATAAAAATACTTGAAACAAGAAAAGATTATTCTTACGTGATGGACAAGTCATTTTTTTCTTGTTTTAAGACTTTTTTTTGCTTAAAACAAGAATTTTAGATTTTGCTGTGTAAGATATAATCAGTTCTAAAATCAGATTTAGTTCATAAAAATTTTTTCATTTTTCTTTTTACTTATGAAATAAAAGAACTTTAAAAATACAATTATTAAACTTTGATATTATGAATAGTACTAATAAAACTTAAACTCTTACGACTTCCGATAACAATGTATTTTAAAAACTAGGTGGTTTTCTTTAATAGAAATTAGAATTTTTATGGGATTTTTTGATTTGCTTAGTTTCCATAAAATTTCCTGAAGAAGATTCCATAAATTTTTCTATTAAAAGATTAAATACTTTATTTTTTAATAGAAATGTGTAAATTTATTTTTTATCATGATTTTTAATGATATAATTTTGCTATTGTTTGTATAATTGTAATTTTTTTTTTTTTTTTTTAGTTCAGCGATTAATCTTAATTTATTAATAAATAGTAAATTCGTGGTGTCCATTTTAAGCAATATTTTAAAATTTAGAGGCTGCTGAATAAGTGCGAACTGACATAAGTGCGAAGCAGTTGCAAAAACTGGCATAAGTGCGAACTGGCATAACTGCAAATCCAAATAAATTTGCAAGCATTGGCATAAGTGCGATCTGGCATAAGTGCGAAACAGTTACAAAAACTGGCATAAATTCGAACTGGCATAACTGCGAATTAGCATTAGTGCGCCAAATAAAGTTTCTAATATTGGCATAAGTCTAAACCAGTATTTCACACTTATACCAATTCGCGCCTATGCCATTTCGCAGTTATGCCAATGTTTGCAAATTTATTTGGCACACTTATGCCGATTCGCACATATGCCAGTTTTTGCAACGTTTCGCGCTTATGCCAGTTTGCACATATGCCAATTTGCGCTTATGCTATTTCGCGCTTACGACATTCGCACTTATGCCAGTTCGTTCTTATGAATCTCGCGCTTATTCAGTCGTCCTTTTCAAAATAAATAAAAGCCGGGGAAGCCAAAGAAATATACCTCTTACGCGCGTTTAATAAGTATTAAATTCATATACATGTAAATAATTGTTAAAATTGTGACCCCTATTTTTAGCAATCGTTTGCATATATAAAAGTTATTGATTTAAAGATTAATAATATAAAAATTGTCTTTCAAAAAAAAGTCTTTAAGAATTAAAATTAATTATATTCATTCGAAATCATACAAATATATAATTTATTATGTTTGTAATTAGGTAATAATAAATTGTCACGCTTTAGGGGAAAAATTAGTGGTTTTGTGATAATTCATACGGAAATTGTTACTAAAAAGTTACGATGCTGTCACGAGGGAAGAGGAGGGAGTCTAAAACAGACAAATATTGCGTGACGTAATTTATGAACGAATATTAATGTTTATCTTTAACTAACTTTTTTTAAATTACCTCTAAACTGCTATTAAAATGTTTCACCATATGATGACATTTAACATAGTTAATTATTTACTTAAACCACGTCAAAATTATTTTTATTATTATAATTACTATATATAATAAAATATATAATAAAATAACATACTTTTTCGACTTATGACTTCTGAACAGATAAGACGCGTTTTTGTTTTTTGGTCGTTTTTTTGGAGTTTTCTGCATTTACACATATATATATATATATATATACATTTTCTATTTTCTTCTCGATTACGTTTTCTTTGTATTATTTTTAGTACTATACTTTCTTTTCCTTTCTTAATATCCTTTTTTTTCTTTTTACATTATTATATTATTCTATTATAACTATTATATTACTCTAGACGGGTTTAAATGTTTACATTAATTAGCGCATGCGTATTTTGCTGGCAGTATAAAAAAAACAAAACATCGCATTTCACACACAATTTCAAGCTATTTAAACTGCAACAAACTAAGAGTTATGCCAGATAATTGTTGTGCTGTTGGTTGCAGTAATGTTAGAAAAACTGACAATGAAATCAAAAGAAGCTTCTACAGAATACCAGATAAAAAAACAAGCCAAGAAACGTAAGTTATGGCTATTAGCAATTCGAAGAAAAAACTGGTCTGAAAAATCCATAGAATGTGCTTGACTTTGTAGTGATCATTTTATTTCTGATAAGTATTTATAAATTTTTTAAATTTTATCAGCATAATTAAAGTATATTTATTTGTAAATTGCCCTCTAATTTCAGATTTTGTTTATTATAGGAAAAAAGTCTGACAATCCTTTAAATCTTGACTATGTCAGCCATTCCAGACGA